ATGATCAAGGACTAGACCGCTAAATACATAATTCAATGCGATCTACCGAAACAAAGACACAGATGAATGGGAAAATACTGGTATACACGTGTATTTTCAGCGAAATTTATGATGTATAAAATCTAAACTAACGTATTTTTTTCACCTCAATAGGGAATTATCACAGTAAACTAAAGGTGTCAGCTAAGAATAGGATCATTTCCAGTAATAAAAATGGAAAAAAATAAAGGAGAAAATGAGACTGGAAATCATTAAATCTCACCGTATAAGAGTTGTATCCATGTCGCTCTCATGGTGCATTTCCATTTTCTCAATCATGTGGAGATCAGGCTCTCGGTCACCCTGACGAATCGCTAACACAGCATCAACAACACATCTATAATTAAGAGGTCATGCTAAGGTTTCGAACGGTATAAATTGCAAACTAACTCAGTGATATGATCGGCGAGTTTGTGATGAAGTTTTGTACGCAAAGATGTACGCGCGACTTCAATCAAGGTGTTGCGGTCAATGGGTACCTCAAAAGTCACCATCTCAACGCTTATGGAGAAATCGCGTTAACAGTAAAGAACCTCTTGTTTGAATTTTTCCAACAATTCCAGAGTTCGTGCATTAGCCCATTCAAAACCTTCAGTAAGGAGACGTGGATGCACACCCTATACATATTCATGATTTTATAAGAATTTTCTGTTATTTGAATAAAGCGCACCTCCAAAACGTAAGTTTCTGCTTGCTTGAGCAATTCTCCAATAAGAAGAACAGTTGATGTCGTTCCATCTCCAGTAATGTCATCTTGTGCTGTTGAAGCTTTCGCAATCAAAGAAGCCGTGGGATGTTGAATGGACTAGAATACTTCAATGAAATGTTCTGTAAGTTCCAATACGCCAGTAATACTGCAACTTTTTCAAAAATACCAGGTACAAAATGAGTTCTCTTATGCATAAACAAAACAGTGGGAAAAAAACAAAACAACTTCCATGTTAATCTGGAAGATCTATGTAATCAGTAAATGGCTATGTTGCAGTCCAATGAAAACCACTTTCAATAAC